CCTCCTCCTCCTCCCTCCTCTCCCTCCACGCTGCTGGTTTCAGGAAGCGGAAGCAGGAATGTTGGAGTGTTTTCAGAAAAGTTTGGGCAAGTTTGACAGTTTGGCAGCAGGGACTCGAACTGCGGAGGAACATGACGGTGAGTTGGTGAAGCTCTCACGGTGCTGCTGATAATAGTGCTTACTGTACCGCTGCTGCCGCCGGACCTCTGTGCTGGACCTCTGCGGGCACACACAGCTCTTACTGGGGCTGCTGTCAGTCCTGTCCTCCGTGTCAAACAGCAGGAACAACTGAACAGGATCAACAAGTTGGTCTCATCTCGAAAAGAAAGGGAAAGTTTATTGACACATGGGTTGTTCTAAAACACGGCGGTCGCTTTTTTTATCGGGAATGTGAGTTTACGGTGAGGATGTCCATACAGCAGATATTTAAAGTGGTCAGCATCTGCAATATGTCTTCATGGCTCTGTGTGTGTGTGTGTGTGTGTGTGTGTGTGTGTGTGTGTGTGTTGTTGACAAACAAGTAATAGCTGTTGAGTGAAATATTTGTGAGGAAACAGTGAGTTGAAGCTGGACACTGTTGCAAAGTGACTCATCCTGTATGTTTCAGTAGAACAGTGAGGCACTACTTCTACATTTCACACTCTCAAGAAGAGTACGTGAAGCGGTTAAAATAGCTCCACCTCGACCAACTACAGCGTTTAAAGTGCTGCTCGGATGTTAATGCACCAGTAATACTAATCCAATCATATAATTGCGTAACAATGACAGTGGCCATTCTGCTTCAGTACTTTTGCTTTGATACTTAAGGTGAATTTTGTTCTTAGTGCTCTTTAGTAGTGTGAAGTAAGTTGTGGTGCTGCTACTTGTACTTGTTACTTCAGACAGTCACCTGATTCCTGCCTGCTTTTAATACAGCAGCCTTTACAGCTAATGTTCATTTTCATTGTTGATCAGTCTACTAATTATTTTCTTAATGAATTACCAGTGGTAGAAGAAGAATTCATGCAAGTAAAAGTAATTACAGGCTGTCTGCGGGTTCTTTAAAAGTCTGAAATCCAATAATCAGTTTTTTAGGCGTTAAAATGCCTAAAATCCAATAGTGACAGGTCATAAAAATGGATTGGATTAATGAAGTTAATGTTAATAATTTGTATAAAGTTGCATTTTTCAGTCTCGCTTTAAATGTGTCCTGCTGAACATTTATTAAAGTCTTAAAAAGTCCGAATGAAACCTGCAGAAACCCTGAATTGCACCACACTGTAAAAATGCTTTATTACAAGTAGAAGTTCTGCAATTGAAATCTACACTTATGCAGAAGTATTATGAGCTCAAGTCCCCGTATTGCAGCAGCTTCGCTCTCGTCAGTGTTTAAATGAAGCCAGTTCTAACCACTTTATACTGTTGGGGAGTTTAATGCATCATATTCCGAATGTTTTCTCAATGTAAAGGCTGATTGCTGAAGTGCAGTAACAGTGGGTCTCATACAGGAAGCTCTTTGTTAAAGCGTGGGGTCTGTCTTAAAACAGGGAACATTAAAACAGGTCTTTCTTGCGGTTCTATGAACATGTGACGGGCTGTATTATTTTCTTCATTAACCAATCAACTGTTTAGTCTTTAAAAATAGAAAGCAATCAATTAGAATTACCCAGAATCCAATTTGATGTCTTCAAATTTCTTGAATAATTGAATAAACCCAAATATATTCAATTTACTATTATATATGACGCACAAATCCTCACGTTTGAGGAAGCCGGAACCAAAAAATGTCTGACATATTTGCTTGAGAAATGTCTGTCAATGAACTGATTAATGGACTAGTAGTTTCAGCTCTAGGTTTGTTCTGGGTTGTGTTTCCTTAATTCCAACAGCAGGAGCTAAAATTCCTCTTTTCATTCTTTAACATAACATAAATCAGAATGTAAACCCAGCAGAACAGGTTGCCTTGTATGGCAGTTTAGAAGCGTTTATTATGTTGTTGATCAAATCTAATGAACAGGAGGTATTCATTTATGAGGTTTGGTGAGTCTGATCCGGAGCGCTCGTACGATTTCAGATGCAAAAATGTCTCCCACTGAGATGTAGTGCAGTAAAGGAATACAGTAGTATCACATGGAAATACATAAGTACCTTAAACTGATTCTAGCCTTTGTTCTCTAGTCTCTGTCTGAGTGTTTTCTACAGTTTCCTGTAACAATGACATACACAGGCTCCGTCACGCTGATGTTTGCTGTGATCAGTGAGATGAAGGCCACAGTGTCAGCACAGCTGGAGGGTTTTCTGTGTTCAGGTTGCAGGAAACAGACTGGAAATGTGGTTTTGTTCACACAGTCGACCCCCCGAGTCTGGTTTCCGTCAGAGTCGACAGGTTATCTTAGAGACAGACCTGATACTCGTGCCGTCAGTGGGTCATCTTTACTCAAACACATTCCGTTTACAATGATATGAAACAGAGAAAACAATAAAACTCACCTGTTTTATTTTTATACTTTACTGCAAGAGTGCGTAACATAGATCTACACCTGCTTACATGTGATAATATTCACATTTCTACCATTCATTTAATGGTGAAAGAGAAAAAATAATAACATATAAAGGTAGAGCTGAAACCATTAGTCGATTAACCGATAATTGATCGTCGGAAAATACATTTTGATGGATTAATATTATAATTAATTATTGCCATTTGATTAGCTGCTTTTCTTTGTCTTTTGTGATACTAAATAAATATCTTTGGGTTTTATTGGTCAAGGAAAAAAAAGCAATAGGAAGATGTCCCCTTGGGCTTTAGGAAATTGAGAACAACATGTAGATTTTGTATTTATTTATTATTTTATATATTGTACTGTAAGACCTATTGGTAGTCGGTTTATCTCTATCTATCAGGTATCTTTATCTTGGACGAAATGTCTCAACAGCTATTGGAAAAATGGGTTTAGATATCTTTGGAAGGACTTTTCCTTTAGTGGCGCCATCAGGTCAGTTTCAAGATAAGATAACTTTATTGATACCACACACCGGGGAAATCTGCTTGTTGTTCCACTGTTGCATTTAGTCCAGATATTCATGTGCCCCTGAGGATGAATCGTAAAACTCTGGTGATCGCTGTGTCAAAATACAGCCTCACAGAGCTGCTAGCGAGGTTGTATTTTATTCAGTTAAATATTACTTTATACGTCCCTCAAAGGGCAGTTTAAGGCAAGCAAGTACATAGACACTTAACTTTACACGCATGAAAAAGCTAATCTGAAAATCCATGTGTTAGAAGACAAGGATTAAGATAAGGTCTAAAGGGCAAATGCATTTATCAGTCTATACGCAAGGTAAACTCACCATTTCTAATGGCTCCTGGAGTAAAACCAAACCTCCTTCTATTTGTTTTCCATACAGGCATCTGAAATGCATTAATGACAGCAGATGAATGACAACATTAAAATACTTTTCCATAAAATAACATATTATTTGATCTACTTCAAAGGAATTTAGTGGCCAGTAGATAGCAGACTGTATTTTGACTAAATCTTTATCCGTCATCACACGTAGGTCTGGACAGTTTCAACATTTATGTCATGAATGGCTATTAGGAGACTGTGTTTTGGTAAGATTATCATTTCTTTGGTTTTGTATAACATTTAAATCCAAGAAAAGATGGATTGCACCAGCCCGCAAATTCGTGAATTTGGGTTCATGTGATTGACCGACTGAGAAGAGACATAATAACACTGTCAGCAGGACTCTTAGTCCTGTTTCTGTTCTTTCTCCAAGTTATCAGAGTTTAACAAAGTCTCAACAGAAACGCCTCGCAAAGAACTTTAAGTAAAATAATTGATATTAGCTAAATTGTCTTTTAAGTGATTAAATATTTGATCAAATAAGAAATGAACAAAGCAGAGAGTCTGACCAGAGGTTTCATGCCAACCTTCAGTACCATAATTATGGTTCCATATCCAACCCTTTTCTACATCTTTTGATACTTCAATCCATTTAGAAAACGTGTCACCATTGAATCATTTAATGTCAGGATCCAAACTAAACACAGCTTCTGTTCTCAGTGGAGAACCACACTACAAACCCTTCATAGCCTCCTTTAAGCCCACAGGAGCAGAGTGTTTGGCGCTTTAACGCAGAGAAAGAGAACGTTAGTGGGGAAGGAAGAAGTTAACAGGACTGAGACCAGAGTGAAAACCCAGCTCCGCAGTGATGGCTGCGTGTCGGAGAGGATGCACTCTGCACACTCTCCGTTGTTGTTGTTGTCTTTTGACATTCCAGTTTTGTTTTGCATTTACAAGAGAAATCTAAAAATAAACCGATTCCTCCCTCACTCCCCCATCCCTCTCTTTCCCTCTCCGCCGGACAGGAAGTTGTTCTGTTATTCATTCTAAACACTCATTTCCTGCTTCACACGTTCTCATTTAGATTTGGCTGCATGCTTCAGTGTTTTATTAGTAACCCCCCAAGGATTATTCTATATTTACCTCCGAGCTCCAGTTGAATCTCTTCATCACTTCATTGTCTCTTCCTGCTTTCTTGGTCTCATTGAGTTTTATTTTAGTAAATGACTTTGTGGCTGTATCTCCATGTTTGCTATTGTTAGCAACAAGGTAACCAAATTACCTGATATTACATTAAGTTTAGTAGTACACAGTGTTGGGTTAAAGATAGACTTCCTCAGTAGCCTTTCGCCTGTAAGACTGAGCTGAGGGAGTTAAGAAACTGCTGCTACTAACATTTATTTGTATCAAGAAGTAATCTATTGGTTATTTTTACAATGAACCCATTAATCATTCGGTCTGTAAAATGTCAGGAAATGTCAGTTACGGCTTCCCATAGTCCGAGGTGACGTCTTCAGATTTCTTCTCTTGTTCGACCCACAGCAGAACCAGAACTAGAGATTGGTTTTGTAAAGTTTGCTTAGTGGATCACTTAAATTACAGATTAGAAATATAGTTGTCAGTGAAGTGTGTGTTGATCATGTTATTGATGAATCGATTCGTTGTTTCAGGCCTCCAGCAGCTTTCTCTTACTGGAGTTTCTGTGTTTAGGAGGGTGAGCTTATCATACATTTGATTTGATTAAGAAGTTAAGAAGTTAAGGGATCACCAAAGTTAGTATGATTCATTCTGTGAGGGACATCAATGTCTGAACCAAATATCATGACAATTCATTAAATAGTTCTTAAAATATTTTGGTCTGGACCAAAGTGTTGGACCGACCCTCTCTTTCACTAGCATGACTAAAAGTGTGCTCTCGTTCCAGCTCCTCAAATATGATTTTCTGATTTTCTCTGTTTTGTCTCATTGTTCAAGTAATATATTTTAGATTTGGACTGTTTCATATTTTATAAACTAAATGCAGGGCTAGAAATGAACTTTCTTTCCTCATCGTCCCACAGCTGTCCCGAATTATACTGTCAGCTGTGCCAGACTTAACAACCATCGTCCCTCGTTGAACAGAATGAATACAACTTAATAAGACCATAGTTTCTGGTCCACCGTGGAGGTTCTGCTAGTTGTTCCCTGCTCTTATATTTGAATAAAATATTGGAATCACTCCATGTGTTTGGCCACAGCAGTGCTAATGCAAATATTTTTCTTATTGGTATACGGTGATGGACATTTACATACATACAACGTATATTTGAGGTAAAAAAGGTGTTCTTTTTTTAAATCCTCAAACGGATGGAGAAAATGAAACTAGTCAAATATTTACAAGCTCAAACAAACTATTTGCATACACGCTATAGGTACACCCTAATCCAGAGACAAAGAGTGAGAGAGAAGGTCGAACATGCATTAACGTAATCATTTCATTTGTACTGATTCATTTCTCTACCTTTGTGTCTTTTTTTTATTGTCCCTGGGACAAGGGGACGTGCTTTGTTTTGAGCACTGACTAAATATTAATAAATTCCTCAGTTTTTAGATTGATGTTTGTTTAGAGAAATCCATCAAAGTCAACAGTTGCTTACTTTTTATATTTATATTTTAGTAAGTAGTGTTTTCATTGTGTGGTAACACAGCTGAGAGCAGAGTCTCAGATATTTGGATGTCTGAAATTTGACAGATGGCTGCTGAGAGGAAAGCTTTTTAATCAAAATTCACATGACCAATCCCTTCCAGACATGTATTATGAAATATACACAGTCTGCACAATAATTTGTGTCTGATGGTTTTTTTTCTGCTATGTTATGTTCATTTCTTAAGTTTTGCTGGACACAAGATGTCTCCTACTTCACTGTAAAGTCAGTTCTCAGAACAGTTCCTTTGAGCTTTATATTAATAGACTCAGATTATTATAACTGTGTAAGCAGCAATTAAATGCTGCATTTGGTCAAGATGGAGCAAATTTACCTATTTTATTTATTGTTACTGGATGTAGTTCAACCCACTTTTTTTATTCTCTGATCGTACGTTTTGTTAGGAAAATCATAAACATAATATGCAATCCTTTTGTAACTCCAAATGTTGAATGACCTGGAGTTAACATTACAAAAGGGATATCCCGAACACGTTCTATTAGCCCTGATCTGAGACCTTAGTATAAAAATATCTGCTGATACCGAGTCCGATGTGATGCTGTGATAATCTACAACCAGACAACAAGATTACAAGATCAGAGAAGATTGTTCGAAAGACAAAAAAAGTGACTTTTTTTTATCAACGTTAATTGGCAACAGCTGATTGGACCTGCCACTGGTTTACTATTTTAACTGTTAAGAAGTGACTGGTCAGCACCAGATTAAAGGTGTGCGGGATTTAGTGGCATCTAGCAGTGAGGTTACGGATTGCAGCCAACTGGATAGCCCTCGCCTCACCCTCCCTGTGTGTGTGTGTGTGTGATCTCAGCTGGTCTCAGTGTGGGTAACTTGTTCATTAATAATTAAGGCCACTTCTCAACTTCTCGTCTCACCACAAACATGTTTCCTCTGTTTCAACCCTCCAGGATGGAACACACTCTATTTATTTAGAGCTAATTTAAAGACATGGTTAATAATTATCAGTGTTAAAAATCAATTTCTCCTTGCTGTCTTCAGTCTCTCTTTGCTGTGTATTTGCCGTACTGTCTGCTGTCACCTATCTCTATCTTTCCTCCGGCAGTCTGTCTCTTGTATGTCTGTTATTGATGTGTTATCGTGTCAGAGTAATTTATGTGTTTTGTGTTCTATATGTGTGGCTTTTTATGTCTGTGTATTGTCTGCTTCTGCCTTGCTTGTTTCAATTAGTGCCTAATAAGCAGCACAATGCCTTCTTTAATGCATATTTCCCTTAACAATATTTACAGTTGTATTGCTTTGCATGTCATGCATCATGTGCTTCTGTGATGTTTTCATTAGTATCGAGCAATGTAGTATAATGATGTCCTTTATGTTTATTGCTCTGCATGCTTATAAATCATTTCAACAACTTGAATCTTATATTCTTTTATTGCTGTTCGTGTGACTGTGTAACATCTGTCCAGAGACTACAGATGAAAAATAGCCTCTTGACTAACTGCCACACTTACAGCAATGCTTATTAACACTGTCCCTGTTAAATAAATAATAAATCAATCAATAAATAAATGAATGAAGAAGATTCAATGTGTCTCTCTAGGTGTGTTTCCTGTTGCTGATGTTGCTGTAGAGTTGTCAGTCTTCTCTGTCTGACTGACTGACCCCAAACAGACACACAGACAGACAGGCAGATATGGAGAGTGGAGTTCTGGGAATGGACACCAGCACTGCTCCAGGTGGGTCGTCTTACTCAAACAGCTGAAATAATTTGCTAAAAGTAACGGGCATAAATAATGGATTAACAATTAAAATAGATAGCTAAACAGATAAAATAATTAGATTAAAAGTTATGGATTAACAGATTCAATAATTATCTAAAAGTGATGAATAATGGTGGGAAGACCCAGCTTCTGCCACCCAAAAACTTGACCTAAAAATCAACAAGTTAATTGTAGGAAAAATATGGTATATGTTTGTAGTATTACTTAACATCCACTTCAAAATCAGTAGAAATGAACACATGTGGAACCTGACTGGTGGTGCAGATGAAGGGGTACATGAGCTCATCTGATCAGGATGGGGTACATCAGACAAGAAAGAACTTTGAATCGCTGGTTTTACTTTATTTGATGGCGCAAACTCAAAGTTCAGTAACGTCGAAGGTGAATGTCCACAACGGTCACCTAGCTCCTTACCTTGCGAGTGAGTCAAATATATTGTAATTCAATGTGATATTACATTGCCATTAATGCTGGGCCCTCTGACATGTGTTTATTGTCCGTTATCCTGGTGGTTATACTGGTGGTTTAAAAGAACAGTTAGGTGGCAGGGTGAGGAGTGATGCGTGTGATCGTTTACACTGCTGACTCACCTGCTGTATGTGTTTGTATTCAATCAGTTGCAGTTTCTGTTTGTCAGGTTGAATACCTGCCAAACCTGATTCATGACTTCATAGCAGTCAGGCTGTCACACATATTGTTGATTGATTTTTCAGATCCCAGAGGGCAGTCAGACTGCAACATAGCTTGTCTGCGGCGTCAGGCCTGGGCCCAGAGCAAAGACTCCATCTGGCAAAAATCAGCACCAGAGCACTGTGGCCCCCAGGAGCCCCAACAGAACCAGAGGGATGGGGAAGCACAGAGACCCTCAGAAGAACCAGGTTAGACTGCGCTCAATGCTCACCAAAGCAACATTGTGACTGGGGATATTTTAACACTCTGAAATGTTACATATAAATATTTCAATTAACCCTATATTTGCTGATCTTCTGCTATAAAATCCATAATCCACATCCAGGCCAACCTGCATCCACCTTAACTGAGTGCCAAACTTAGACATTTATATCAGTGTTGTTGTATATGTCAGCTGATGAGTGACAAGAAGTTGTTGAAGAGAAAGACCAATGTTGTAGTGTATTTGAGGTAACTTTAAACACTAGTTTGTCTACCAGGATTTTATTAGGATCCCCGTTAGCTACTCTTCCTGGGATCCACACAAAACCTAAAAACATGACAAAAGACAAAAAGACACTTGAATACAAAACAGAAAACACCACGTAGGGGGTGCTGCATATATTCATTACAACTGTTTCATCCGTGAAATACAGTAATCCTCACCCTTTGTTTTTAGCCATGCTAGCAGCGTGGCTCTAGGGATGAAAACTCTTTATTGGTTGCTCAGTTGATCCACCACTTTAGTCCAGATTAAGCCCAGAGGATGACTGCTATTGTCTCTTCCTGTAGCGCCACCATGGATTGCCATGAAATCTGGTTCAGACATTTATTTCCCTCACAGGATGAATTTTAATGACTTTGGTGTTCCCTTAATTTTCCATCTAGCGCCATCATCAGATCAAAATTATGATTTGTCCAATACCTGCAAAACTAATTTTAGTGCTATTGTCATTGTGAGCATGTTTACATGCTGACGTACAACTCAAAGTACAACTGTACATCCTCACAGACCCACTAGCATGACTATAGACTCTTAGTCTTGTTTTAACATGCACAATCCTCTAAAGCCATATTGGCTTTTTCTAAATAACCTTTGGATACTTGGACTTTGCTGTTGCAGCTTTTCAAATGTGAGGATTTGCTGCCTTCCTGTTTTCAGAAAAAATAAGTAATCTGAAGACGTCACCTTGGGCTCTGGGAAACTTTGATGGGCATTTTTCACTGAACAACTAAATGGAAAAATAATTGACAGATTGAATGATAACGAAACTGGCTGCAGCCACAGGGGTGTGAAGAGGAATTGGATGTGGCTCATTTCGATGTTAACTGGTGGAACTGCAGCCTTGACTTAATCAGCTGAAATGTTAAGGGTTATATCCTGAAGTCCGGCATCACTGTAATGCTTTTATAGCATGTTGTAATCACTGCACACGGCATCTGCTGGCTTATTGCTTTAACATGCTCATCTGTCTCTCTGTCAGGGCAAGTTCCTAACAACATAACCAGCTGGCTGATTGAATGCAGGTACAGTATCCACTCAACACCTGATTTAAGGACCACATCAATGTCTCTTAATGTCCTGTTTTTATCCTGGGTGCTACGTGTCACATGTGCACTACTGGATTATTTCTCAGGAGCCAATTTCAAGTTGCTGCTAGTTCATTCATCAAAAAATGATGGATGATTAATCATGATCAGTAGGAAAGTAAAATATACATACTTAGTAGTTTTTTAAATCCTGTCTGACTGGTTTAGTGACAGACAAGATAACTGATTTTTTTCTTACTGGTTTATTGATATGTTTTCCTGGTGTTTGGAGGTGTATGTGTGTGTATTTAGCAGCAGTGTTATCAGCTGCTGACGTAGAACCGACTCACAGCCAACGCCCAGACATACAACACACAGAACACACACACACACACACACACACACACAAAAGGTGCAGACCAACGCCCAGAGATATGGCACATAGAGATGTTTGGGTGAAGAAAAAAAAGGAAAGAGGAGGACGCAGGAAGAAGCTGACAGAAGACGGAAAGAAAGGCATAAAAAAGAAAGGAGAGCAAACAGAGGAGGAGTTCCTCCTGCTGAGTCAACACTGTTATCAAACACACACACGCAGTATTAGCTGCTGTCACTCACAACCCTACGACTCTACAGCGCACTGACGTTTCCTCTGTAACGTAACATCACCGTGGTAACGTGACCAACAGAATCAGAATCACAGGTTACTATAGCAACAGCCACAGGGCAGGGGCCTGAGGCCAACATGGCTGCTGGTGGAAAGTGGGAGGAATAGCAAACACTGCGACTGTGCACTGTTACACAACCATCAGTGTGTGTGTGTGTGTGTGTGTGTGTGTGTGTTGAATGGTGGCATGAAGTTTGTCCCATTGATAAGAGCTGCAGGTTGTGTAACAGCTCAGTGTTTCCAGCGTCCGGCTGCAGACAGCAGCTCAGACCCGCTAGCTTACTGCTGCTTTTAACTAGCCTGATCTTGGACAACTAGTCTGGTCAGTAGAGCACCTGGGATAGGTTCCAGGATTTAGCTTGGGATGTTTAGTCTTATTTAGCCTGGTCAGTAGTTGACTCAAATAAGTAGCCTGGACTGACCAGGAGTTAGCCTTGGATAGTTAGCCTTCACCTGACAGGCACTTTGCCAGGAGTACATAGCCTTAGCCTGACAGGCAGTCAGTGTTGGGATAGTCAGCCTTAGTCTGACAGGCAGTTGGCCTGCATTACGTAGTCTTCGCCTGACATGTAGTTAGTGCTGGTATAGTTGGCCCTCGTCTGACAGGCGATACTTTTAATGTTAGCATAGTTAACCTTAGTGTGACAGGCAGTTAGTCTGGGATAATTATTCTTCACCTGAACGGCATCTAACATCGGGATACTTAGTCTGACAGGCAGCTAGCATGGCAAAGTTAGCTTAAGACAGACTAGGTAGTATTCTGGTATTTTTAGAGTCATCGGCTTGACCAGGAGTTAGCCTGGGATAGATAGTGTAGCCTGGTTCGTTGTTACTGAGTCTAGTCTGGTTAGGACTGTGCCTTACTTGTCAGGGTAAATGTATTTGAAACTAGCCTGATGTAGCAGTAGATGAGCATTAAGGGAGAAACACACCAGCATTACATATTTTTGATGCAAGGCCACATTCTGGCCACTGTGTTCCCTTGAGTGTGGTGTATCTGGTGCTTGCTATGGGCATCATATTATATGATGCTAAGTGATACAGCCGGTGTGCTTTGCCCTGTATACTGTGCGCTAATTGGAGCTGACCTGAACGCACTGGTTTTTATGTTTTTAATGGTGAGTTTATGGTTTGGGTTGATATCTAACTCTCTCTCTCTGTCTCTATGTTTCTTGTTCAGGACTCCCCTCGGAGCCTCTCTAGATGATCAGAGTGCTTCTCCCAGCAGAGGTAATCCAAATTTTCTGTGTTGTTTTTATATTGTATAAGATATACAACTTTTTAGGACACTGACAACAGAGGTGTGGACTGGATTCACATGACTTGGTCTTGAGTCAGACTCGAGTCACAAATTTGAAGACTTAAGCCTCGACTTGACAAAATCAAAAAAGATCTGCAACTTGACTTGGACTTTAACACCAGTGACTTGTGTCTTCACTTGGACTTGAGCGTTTTGACTCGAAAATACTTAAAACCTTCCCCCAAGCCCAAAGATGATTTAAAAAGTGTGCCACGAATCATTCATTTCCCTTTCCTCAATCTGCTAATGGTAACATTATTAATTCCCAGTAGGGCAAGATTTAATTTCTCAGATCCAGTTTGTTTGAATCTATCTGACACCATCCAATCAAGTTGCAAGAAAGAACCTTGAAGAACTAACATTACGTTACTGAGTGCCAGTTGGAAAAAATGGTGCCAAAGATCATTTCGTTTGTGTACAAAAACTACACCGTGATCAACAAAAAACAAACACTGTAGTAACCTTTCTAGCTAGCTAGTTAAACCAGTGAATTTGGATACTCACTGTTACATTGCATACACGGCAATCCATTTCTAGTTTCAGCCATTGTAGGTGTGTGTTCCCTCCCCAACTCATACTTTGATGTTGCACCTAAAACAAGATGACAACTGACTTCTAAATTAGTTTCAGCACTGTACATGTATTAGAAACATAGTATGTTTTCAAACATTAAAGCATGTAAACCTATTCTAGTAGATGCCCCATATAGAAGTATAAAGCTGAAACAAGCAGAATAGACTATAGCCTCTTTAATAATACTCTGTTGTTAAAATGGGATTTGGTGAAGAGCGCATAATTACTGGTTGAGGACTATCAAGTCTGTCACAGACTATAGCACGACGCAGGTTACTCTCAATCAATCAATCACGTTCACACTCTGTAGATGGGAAGGTGCTCTTTTTCAGCTGCTATAGAACTTCTAGTGCTGTATAGGAGCGTGTGGAGATCAGTTTGAAGATGATGGAAAATAAGATGATGAGGGAACTGGGAAGAGGAGGGGAGGGACATGTAGAGAGAAGAGTAATAGAGAGAACAAAGGTTAAAAAGAATGAAGGCTAAATGAGGGGGATGAGAGGAGAGATAAGAGATGGGAGGAGAGAAGAAAATCATAACAGATAAATAAAATGGGGGAAACTGTGATCTACTCCATGTTAGCTCAAGCTGCAAAATACCTTGTTAATGCCCTACTAAACCTTGAATACACTACTGTCATTTCATTTCATTCATACAGATACCTATAAGGGCCTTTAAAATAATATAAAACATGTTAAAAGACTGTATGTCCACCTGTGTCAGATAGGCAAATATGTGTGTGGGATCCAGCAGAAAAAAGCAGGACATATTAAGTCCTGGCATGTAAAATTTTAGGAATCATCAAACATTTATTAATTGTGGACCTTTTTGCATATTTTTGAAATAAATGGAGCGATGTCTGCAAGCTAGTTCAGGCAGTCAACTCGAGCTGCGCTGTTATACACACATGACATGCCTCACTCCATAATCACTAACCAAGCGCTCCCTTCCAATCTGGCGGTCTATTTAAACTGCACAATTTC